TTCCATCAATATGTCTATTAAACTTTCGTGTTTAAATTCTACATGGCACACGGTTTTATTTTTTGTAGTCTCTTTCTCAAAGATATCTTTGAAGATATCTTTCTCAAAGATATCTCAAAGACATCTTTCTCAAAGAGACTAGAGGTGTGGAATACCCCAGGTGAGAGGTCACCCTAGGTGTGGAATACCTCAGGTGTGGAATACCGCAGTTGTCAGCAGGTGTGCCCCATTGTCTTATCCAATTTTACCGTTTAAATCACCTAATTACAGTTACTCAGACTCATCCGTGGCTACCACACTGATCTCATCTCGATCTATAACCCATTTTCCCCTCTCAAAATATCCTCCATTACCGCTCTTGACATTAATATAATCACTGGAAAATAGGTTCCTAATGTGACCCTACGAACCCATGAATATTTAATGGGTATTCTAAATATTTCCTGAACGGTAAATAGGTTCACAGAATATTCAGTTCACACTAATGACAGGGCGATATACACTCTAAGTGCTCAGGGTCACCACTTATTTCGTACACATTTGCATACCTTACATTGACTAGGGTAAGTGCTGAGGTATTTCCATCTCTCTGTGTTCATTTATATATATATATACAAGTGGCCCCCCTGCTGACAGTTTCATTAAGGCCGTCAATATTGGTACTCTAAAGAGAGAGAGAGAGAGAGAGAGAGAGAGAGAGAGAGAGAGAGAGAGAGAGAGAGAGAGAGAGAGGGAAGGGAGAGAGCTCGTTCCCGTCTTTCTGGCTTCCTTATTTATTTTTTTCCACCTACCTCCTCTTTACCCTGTTTTTGCTTCTCTCCCTCCCTCCTTCCCTCGTGTTTATTAGTTACTTCATCCTCATATTTACGTTCTTCCCCTCGTTCCCTCATTTCTCTCACTTCCTCACCCTTGCCTTTTATCCCTCATTCTCACCTCTCTCCTTTACCGCCACCTCTCTCCCTCGCCCCTCACATGCTTCCCTTCCTCACCTCTCTCCCTCACCCCTCACCCTAACTCACCTCTAAAGAACAGCTCAACAACGAGAACAAAAAGAACAAACGATAATAACAAAGAGGTGAACACCTCACCTCACCATAACCACAATAACATCGTTATCTTGGAAGGTTAACAAAAACAGAGGATTGCCTTAACTGTTGCCATTAACTGTGTGTTAATTGCCTTTAACACACAGTAACACTAATACACAAAGAGTAAATCACACTAACGTAATGCATCAATGGCAAAAAATCCGTGGGAGCTGTGATGTAGATTCGAACCTATGCGCTTGGGTACTCCCAGCGTATTCAGCACATATTCCGTGTTTAACGCATAGTTTCGAATCCCCACCAAGGTTGCTACGGATTTTCTCAGTAATCCTCAAATTTTATTCCATTAATTTTAAGCAGACCAGCTTAAGTAACATAGAATTTATTCACCATAAGGAATACTTCGCTGTTTGGTGTACGTAAACTAAGAGTTTACTTGAGTCGTAAACTGTGTTCTGGCGTAAACTTTTTGGTTGGTCTGTAAGGTGGCTGTTGTGGTGTAAGCTGTTAGGTCAGTAAACTTAATAATAACCTTCCAGCTTTGCTACAGGTAACTGAGGGCCACGGGGAATGTGCGTAACGCTGTTAATAAACTAACCAAATATAAGCGCAGCGAGTCTAATAATAATAATAATAATTATATTATTATTGATATTGCTGTTACTATGATTTTCACAGTAATTTGGTGGTAACAAATTATACCATTTGTTTGTGTGTGTGTGTGTGTGTGTGTGTGTGTGTGTGTGTGTGTGTGTGTGTGTGTGTACTCACCTAGTTGTGTTTGCGGGGGTTGAGCTCTGGCTCTTTGGTCCAATGTAACGGTTCTATTGTTACGTAAAGTATGGTGACAAATAAACACAGACACTAAGATACTATATATATATTTGGTCGAATATACAGAAGTACACAGGTGATACGTTGGTGTGAGTTGAGCGCACTGAGCGTTGGTACAGTATCTCGCAAGTGTCTGCTCTAGACCACACTTGAAAGTAGACTGTGTGTGTGTGTGTGTGTGTGTGTGTGTCAGCTGGCAAGATATTGCTCTCTCTCCGGCTGTCAGGCCTCTCGAGATCAGCAATAAAAAGAAACGTGATTTTGTAGTAGTTGTTTATGGCAAAGACGTCTGTGTTGTTTCAACACACGACGGCTGCTTCCCGAGTGGAAGATAGTAAAACCCACAGAAATATATAATAGTTTTCCAGTAAGAAAATCAATCTGGGCGTTTCCTATTTCATTGTGTGTTTTTTGTAACCAATTCCCAACAAATTTGTTAACAAAAGGTTTGTGGAAAGAAGCGATTTACACTGACAATAGCGAGCGAGATGCAGCTGATTGCGATATTGTCAGGTCGCAAGATGGGTGCTGTTGCTCACACCAGCACGGGCAATAGGCATTGCACGTCTCTTGAAAGTGTCATTCATCCTGGGGACACGAAGCTCCCGCAGCAACACATTTCGTATTTGTGTTTTAAGATAGTACAGAGTAGCTTTTTCTTTTCTTTCGCGGCCATATCTGTCTTTATTCCCCTTTCCCTGTGTGACTTGTGTACTTCTTGCGGTTCTCCAAGTAACCGAACTCTGAAAAATAAAATACAAACTTGGCTTCCGTTGAAGTACAACAGAAGGATCTCCAAGGAAACCTACACTGAAGCTTTGTAGGAAACAGCAGGAAAAAAAACGTGAGGAAAGGAAAATAGCAGAAAGGAAACATTATTGAAGAGGAAACAGCAGGAAAAAAAAGAAATAAGGAAACAAGAAAGACTGAACGGAACCTTTAGTAGTATCAGGCAACGTTTTGGCTTGTGTGTAAAAAAAATATGCACGTGTTATGTGTCTATCTCCAGCAATGATGATTTACTAACAAATGGGAGAGTTGCAGGCGATGAGTCACAATAACGTGGCTAAAGTATATTGACCAGACCACACACTAGAAGGTGAAGGGACGACGACGTTTCGGTCCGTCCTGGACCATTCTCAAGTCGATTGTGATTCTCCACAATCGACTTGAGAATGGTCCAGGACGGACCGAAACGTCGTCGTCCCTTCACCTTCTAGTGTGCGGTCTGGTCAAAATGGGAGAGTTGCCTAGCAGTTCGAAGACGGCAAATGTGGTACCAAAATACAGGTCATGTGAAAGGGAGAAGACGCTGAACTGAAACCTAGCGTCACTGACAAACATATCTTGCAAGGTACATGAATGGTCGTTTGAAGAATAATTACAACAAAACTAGTAGAAAATCTAGACATAATTAAGTTTGAGGACAATAAACAATAAGGCTTTAGGGAAGGAAAATCAATTATATCGATTATTCTTGAGCTCTGCTGGTGAATTGAGGACATTAAGACCAAAGAACATGGATACCCAACAATTCTTAGAGTTAAACAAGCCTCTGACGCAGTTCCACTCAGAAGCCTGGAGTTAATTTCCAGTCCAGTTTCTTCCTAACACATGGGGGTTAGGAAGAAAGTTGGAAAGAAATGGGCTAAACGATGATGA